GTATACCATGGATATGACAAAACATTTATTTTTACTGCTCTAATTACTTTAGTAACCAGTTTATAATAGCAATAAGGCACCTCGGGGGTTTGTGGTATATGGCCAATATACCACGGCTAATGGCTGTAACCAGGTACCCCGTGATGCGTCGTGCCTAAGAACAGCCATTAGCCGTGGTATATTGGCCCTATACCACACCTCCTCATATCTTATTGCTTAAATATACAACATTCAAAGCACATAAGCATCCTAAAATAATGTTGTTGTTTTTTAAATATTGCATTACAGCACAGAGGATCCTTCAGGATGAGGATCTACGAGAGGGATACAGTGGGGAAAAAAAGTATTTAGTCAGCCACCAATTGTGCAAGTTCTCCCACTTAAAAAGATGAGAGAGGCCTGTAATTTTCATCATAGGTACACGTGAACTATGACAGACAAAATGAGAAAAAAAATCCAGAAAATCACATTGTAGGATTTTTAATGAATTTATTTGCAAATTATGGTGGAAAATAAGTATTTGGTCAATAACAAAAGTTTCTCAATACTTTGTTATATACCCTTTGTTGGCAAGGACACAGGTCAAACGTTTTCTGTAAGTCTTCACAAGGTTTTCACACACTGTTGCTGGTATTTTGGCCCATTCCTCCATGCAGATCTCCTCTAGAGCAGTGATGTTTTGGGGCTGTCGCTGGGCAACACGGACTTTCAACTCCCTCCAAAGATTTTCTATGGGGTTGAGATCTGGAGACTGGCTAGGCCACTCCAGGACCTTGAAATGCTTCTTACGAAGCCACTCCTTCGTTGCCCAGGCAGTGTGTTTGGGATCATTGTCATGCTGAAAGACCCAGCCACGTTTCATCTTCAATGCCCTTGCTGATGGAAGGAGGTTTTCACTCAAAATCTCACGATACATGGCCCCATTCATTCTTTCCTTTACACGGATCAGTCGTCCTGGTCCCTTTGCAGAAAAACAGCCCCAAAGCATGATGTTTCCACCCCCATGCTTCACAGTAGGTATGGTGTTCTTTGGATGCAACTCAGCATTCTTTGTCCTCCAAACATGACGAGTTGAGTTTTTACCAAAAAGTTATATTTTGGTTTCATCTGACCATATGACATTCTCCCAATCCTCTTCTGGATCATCCAAATGCACTCTAGCAAACTTCAGACGGGCCTGGACATGTACTGGCTTAAGCAGGGGGACACGTCTGGCACTGCAGGATTTGAGTCCCTGGCGGCGTAGTGTGTTACTGATGGTAGGCTTTGTTACTTTGGTCCCAGCTCTCTGCAGGTCATTCACTAGGTCCCCCCGTGTGGTTCTGGGATTTTTGCTCACCGTTCTTGTGATCATTTTGACCCCACGGGGTGAGATCTTGCGTGGAGCCCCAGATCGAGGGAGATTATCAGTGGTCTTGTATGTCTTCCATTTCCTAATAATTGCTCCCACAGTTGATTTCTTCAAACCAAGCTGCTTACCTATTGCAGATTCAGTCTTCCCAGCCTGGTGCAGGTCTACAATTTTGTTTCTGGTGTCCTTTGACAGCTCTTTGGTCTTGGCCATAGTGGAGTTTGGAGTGTGACTGTTTGAGGTTGTGGACAGGTGTCTTTTATACTGATAACAAGTTCAAACAGGTGCCATTAATACAGGTAACAAGTGGAGGACAGAGGAGCCTCTTAAAGAAGAAGTTACAGGTCTGTGAGAGCCAGAAATCTTGCTTGTTTGTAGGTGACCAAATACTTATTTTCCACCATATTTGCAAATAAATTCATTAAAAATCCTACAATGTGATTTATTTTATTTTATTTTCTCAATTTGTCTGTCATAGTTGACGTGTACCTATGATGCAAATTACAGGCCTCTCTCATCTTTTTAAGTGGGAGAACATGCACAATTGGTGGCTGACTAAATACTTTTTTTCCCCACTGTATTTTTGGTTCCAACCACCGTGTCTTTGTGAGACACGGTGTGGGTGAACGGATGATCTCCGCATGTGTAGTTCCCACCGTAAAGCATGGAGGAGGTGGTGTTATGGTGTGGGGGTGCTTTGCTGGTGACACTGTCTGTGATTTATTTAGAATCCAAGGCACACTTAACCAGCATGGCTACCACAGCATTCTGCAGCGATACACCATCCCATCTGGTTTGGGCTTAGTGGGACTATCATTTGTTTTTCAACAGGACAATGACCCAACACACCTCCAGGCTGTGTAAGGGCTATTTTACCAAGAAGGAGAGTGATGGAGTGCTGCATCAGATGACCTGGCCTCCACAATCCCCCGACCTCAACCCAATTGAGATGGTTTGGGATTAATTGGACCGCAGATTGTAGGAAAAGCAGCCAACAAGTGCTCAGCATATGTGGGAACTCCTTTAAGACTTTTGGAAAAGCATTCCAGGTGAAGCTGGTTGAGAGAATACCAAGAGTGTGCAAAGCTGTCATCAAGGCAAAGGGTGGCTATTTTAAGAATCTCAAATATAGAATATATTTTGATTTGTTTAACACTTTTTTGGTTACTACATGATTCCATATGTGTTATTTCATAGTTTTGATGTCTTCAATATTATTCTACAATGTAGAAAATAGTAAAAATAAAGAAAAACCCTTGAATGAGTAGGTGTGTCCAACCTTTTGACTGGTACTGTATGTATACTGTATTTAGTAATATGATAATGTATCGTGTTATGGACAGGGAACGTAGAGGAGGAGACAGATACAGACAGTGAGAGAGGGGATTGACGAAGACGGGGTTCATAACGCTGTTGCCAGTGAGTATGTGTGGTCCGGAGTTGGCAGCTCTACCACTAGACCAGACTCTGGCACGATCCATACAATTCTAAAGGGAGGAAAATATTCCTACGAGGATTACCTGATTTGCACATTTCCCAGAGTGCTTATTTCACACATTACATGGGAAGATGATGCTATAATGTCTCAACAGGAGGCCCACAACTGTTGATGTAGCTGGTCTTCATATCAAACAAGTAGCATACCATATTTATGGAATATGTTACCAAGGGATAGCGTACATAAAGGCCCAAATCCTAACCTCAGGTCCATGCGCTAAACTTTTTTGTAAATCATGCGTTGAGGTCAAATTAACATTCTGCAACTCAATCACCAAAGCACTGTGGGGTCATATTAAATACGGAATCTTTTGATGTATGTAAGCTGTCAGTCAGACTGCACAAAAGTGAAACCGAAACTCAACTCTATGTTTAAGTTTAGGCATTAATTAGGAAGGGTTAAGGTAAGGTTTAAGGTTTGGGATAGGGTTAAAACAGAGAAATAACAGGGATAAAGATGAGTGCCTAGCACTGGGCCTTAACCTGTGATCTTTGGAGCCGTAGCTCGCAGTTTAAGCCCTTCCTCTCCATCCACAACACCCTAGCAAGCAGCGAGCCTACTAGATCGTAATAGGCGCTCACGTTTCCCCTAGTGGACTGTAGGAAATTGCAATGGAAATAATCGGAATCTGGTGCCTGTATGCACCCAGGATTGATATTTCATATGAGAACAGCCTGAGATTCTGTTAGGATTCCAGCCAAAGAAACTAGCAGGGGTCCAAGCACTAAACCTTGAAGAACACCAAATTCAACTTTGATTTGTTATCTAACTGCACAAATTCATATCCGTTTGATTAGTAGACTATATAGTAAACCAGTTGAGAACATATCCTCAAATGCCAACCAAGTTTTCAAGTCTGCTTAGGTGTCTGCTTCAAGTCTGCTTAGGTGCTCATAAAAAGTGTTGGGCTGCTGATTGGCAAACAAAACAAATGTGAGATAAAGGTGTATTTACATTAATTTCAAAATGGGCTTAAATGGAGGTTGAAGACAAATAAGGGAAATGTGCTCAGAACACTTCTAGTTTTATGTGTGTGTGACCGACTGGGTACCATTCTCCACTGTGTTAGCCTGTTGCGATAATGCCTAGGTATTAGCTCGGGGAGCTAAAGCAAGTCTTCTGGTCTCTGGCAAGGTTACTTATCAAGCGAGTCTGACTGACAGAGTGTGGTTCATGATGATGAAGAACCAAATTTGAAGAGCAACATTATATAAAAAGAGCTAATATTATGTAGAGCAAGGTATAAAGTGTGGTATCTACAGTTTTTTATACAGTATACAGAAACGTCAGTAATTCAGTTTAGTTAACTGTTTTAACTGTTATGTTGTGCAGAATTGTGCTTGATTTTCATTGAATGAGTAGGTATTCTCTCTGTCACTCACATTGAGATTTTGAGAGTTGCTGGTGAGTGTTATGAATTTATGATTTTACTTTAGTAGTAAAGTATTTTAGGTGTGTGAAGTAAGCATTCTTACGTCTTTAGATAATGGTTTGAAAAACTTAAAAAAATATATTTGGACGATGACTATGACCAGCAGTTTTCTCTCAAAACTACTATTAGATGCCTCGATTCAACAAATTTACTGAAACTTTGCAAGGTGTATAGGGTACAGTATGTTTTCATACTTATTGAGTGAACACTAGAGAAGACAATAGGATGGCGGGTGGACCTAACTTTTATTCATTTCAATGTTAGGCTCAGTTTCATGTTGACAATGTATTGCCTCTCAGTTTGGGTGAGCAACAACACGTCTGATGGAGCCAATCCTGGAATTGATGGCTCCCCAGTCACTGTATCTCATGTACTCGCCAGGCCTCAGGAGGTACTGTCTGCCTCTGTAGTTGGGATGCTCATAGAAGAGCCAATACCCCTCCATAACATTGCAAGAGTGGATATCATTGTAATGAAATCGATCATAGAGGGAGGGGCAGTCATCGGCAAACTCCAGCATCTGACCACCAAAGTCAGAGCGCTCGTAGATTCTCATCTTGTGAGCTCCCTGATTCTGAGGACAAGGAGGAGAAGATGGGTATGTTCATTCAGCTGCTTTACTATTAAGTTTCAAGTTTCATGTTTATTTGCCATGTGTATTACTACCTACATCAATGATGGGTTAACTTGTATACCAGGAAAGAGGAATATGGGCTCACTTGAGGGATGATGCGGCAGGATTTCACGCAATCATTAAAGCCCATCCAGCGCTGGTAGTCGGGATACTCGCCCCTTCTCAGGAAGTACTGGTAGCCCATGTAGTTTGGGCGCTCATAGACCATCCAGCTACCACTCTCCACTTGGATGGAGTTACAGTGGCTGAAATGGGTGTGCAGGTCGGCACAGTCGGTGCTGCACTCATAGGAGCGACCCTGGAAGTTCTTGTCCTCGTAGAAGATGATCTAAAAATATGAATGGAAGTAAACATGCATACAATGGAAAGAACATTCCGTTTTGTGCAATACAAAGGATCAGACAACTGAGTGTCTATCTCGCAGCCAGTTGTTCATTGTTCTTTGTTCTGTCAGACAAATAATGAGCAAGAAGGTGTGACGAGACAAAAGATGTGCAGCGGAACAACATGCCTTACCTTTCCCATTGTGTTAGCTTAATGTGATCACACTGCAACACTGACTAAGCGAGCCATGGTCCTTTTATATCCTATAGGAATAGAGACATTGTTAAGTTAATCAATTGACTTTAGATGTCAGCCTTTTTGAAAATACAGCACGGCTGCCAAATTACAAAAGATTGTTGTTTTTCTTTGTCAGCAGGGTGAATTGCCTTTTTGTTATGTACACAAAGGCTTCAATGGTGCTAATTACAGTGAGGGAAAAAAGTATTTGATCCCCTGCTGATTTTGTACGTTTGCCCACTGACAAAGAAATGATCAGTCTATAATTTTAATGGTAGGTTTATTTGAACAGTGAGAGACAGAATAACAACAAAGAAATCCAGAAAAACACGTAAAAAATGTTATAAATTGATTTGCATTTTAATGAGGGAAATAAGTATTTGACCCCTCTGCAAAACATGACTTAGTACTTGATGGCAAAACCCTTGTTGGCAATCACAGAGGTCAGACATTTCTTGTAGTTGGCCACCAGGTTTGCACACATCTCAGGAGGGATTTTGTCCCACTCCTCTTTGCAGATCTTCTCCAAGTCATTAAGGTTTCGAGACTGACGTTTGGCAACTCGAACCTTCAGCTCCCTCCACAGATTTCCTATGGGATTAAGGTCTGGATACTGGCTAGGCCACTCCAGGACCTTAATGTGCTTCTTCTCGAGCTACTCCTTTGTTGCTTTGGCCGTGTGTTTTGGGTCATTGTCATGCTGGAATACCCATCTTGTCCCTGACATCCTTGGAGAGCTCTTTGGTCTTGGCCATGGTGGAGAGTTTGGAATCTGATTGATTGATTGCTTCTGTGGACAGGTGTCTTTTATACAGGTAACAAACTGAGATTAGGAGCACTCCCTTTAAGAGTGTGCTCCTAATTTCAGCTCGTTACCTGTATAAAAGACACCTGGGAGCCAGAAATCTTTCTGATTGAGAGGGGGTCAAATACTTATTTCCCTCATTAAAATGCAAATCAATAACATATAACATTTTTGACATGATTTCTTGATTTTTTTGTTGTTATTCTGTCTCTCACTGTTCAAATAAACCTACCATTAAAATTATAGACTGATCATTTCTTTGTCAGTGGGCAAACGTACAAAATCAGCAGGGGATCAAATACTTTTTTCCCTCACTGTAACTAATTATGTACTCTACACATGTTTATCAGTGGAAAACCAAGATCTGGTAACTAAAAGAACAGATGACAGAATATTCAACCCAAAACTGATGACAGAATACCCAACATAAAATGTATTTATCAAGCATTCATTTTATCTTTAAAAGTAGGCTCTCACAGACACACTTTAATTGATTATTATGAATCACCTTCACTGACATTACTACTTTCTGCATCGCTGCACTACATAGTATGAAACTGCTAAATGACTAAAATGTAAATGTAAATATAAATATAATTCAAGAACATTTCAAACACACAGCAAACTATAATACAAGTATGATGGATAATAAGAAAATTAGGGATTTGACTCCCCTTGCCTGGTGGTTTCGGTACTGTTTTAGTGGTCAGGTTTTGGAATATGTCCAGCCAAACTTGTGCTCGTGCCACCTGTGGTCTCAGCTGACCCATAGCCAAGTGAGTGGCTGCTGGTGTGGCCAACAACTCAGGTCATGTGATTGACTGTATTGATAGAGTTTTACAATACACCACCCAGTGGCCAACAGGAGAGTGACCTTGAATATTTACAGTGGGACTCGTTTTGACTGTAATGAATTGCTGCTTCCTGATTCTCCAGCCATTTCCAGAAGTAACTAATGCTACCTGAATGGCATGACTGTGAATTGGAACAGGCCAAGCTGTTAAAATGTACTGTGTACCAACATGCTCACCAGTAATGTATTCAAATAGAAAACTGCTTCCACAACACCTTGCTCTTCCTCTCTGTAACAACTCTGCTAGTTGATAGACAATCACAACTTGGTATAAACTTACTTTGAGGTTAAACATACAATTTGAGAGATTGCGGTTCCATTATTTTTGTTAATCGAACATTAATGTCTATAAATACGTAAACAAACCAAAAGAGGCTTTTATTTTCAAGGTAAGGAAACATAGTGACTACAGCTGCAGATCCTAGGCCAAATTCCCCAGGCTATTTGTCAATATCAAATCTTGTGATAGTTGGCAGCCTTATTCTAGCTAGATAAACAAGTTTATTTGTATTTTTAGGAAACATGTTTCTGTACAGGTTGCTAAATGAGCTTCCTAATGAACAATATTAAAATGCTTCATGGCATAGTACTGTATATTAATAATCTGTTTGGTATTCATTACATCTAATGAGTCTATTTTTATGTGTTATTTAGTATTAGTCAACACTTTTTTTAATTAATAGAAATGTATACATATCTGCATTAGGAATACATAGATATACATTATGATATATACATTGTATTTATATAAATATGATATGATATACATTTATAATATAAAATATAAATATAAAATATCATAGAAATCATATTGTGGGCCTCCCAGTCTTTGGATGAGTCTGACATCTATAAGGATTGCATCTAATGGTTAAACTAATAAACCTCCCACTGTACATGTTTGAGCTACAGTTATTTGACTGAATCACTTTCCTTGAGCCTTTGTCTCCACCCAAAATCCAGAACTCTGCTATTATACTGTGGAGGTGCTGCCCTCTCCTGGTTTTGCTGTGACTTGTGGATGGCAGTATTTGTGGAGCAAACATGGTACAGCCTTGGAGGAGTATTACAGGAAGTCGCCACTTCAATAAAAAACAATAATGTACTGTTTCATAGCTGTTTAAACATTCCCAAGAGGCATTCCTAACAAAAATCCACAATTCCTGTTTTTCCTTTACAGTATGAATAATAAGAGCTGATGCAGCTGAAGCAGGAGCTGTATACTGATACTGATGCAGAGTATTTTCTACAAATTATTTACTTTCTACTAGAATAGACAGTACTTACTAACATTTAATTCAACATTAACCTTATGTAATGATCAGCGGTTTTAACAGATAGTAATTTCTGAACATGTTCTTTTCCCATTAACTCCACATCAAGTTTTGAAATGGCATGCATCCTAACAACCTCATCACCTGGGGAGGACCTGTCCCAGTGTACTGCTCCTGTTGCACTGGGAAAACTAACCATATGAAAAGGCAGATTTCTGTTCTGAATGCACCTTTACCTCAAACCAAGGACTCAAATGAAAATGAAAGACACTTTAATTTAAAAGGTAGGTGAGTTTATTAATACTCAAATGTCAGACATTGGTGCATTTAATAACAAGAATCCATGATACGCCTCATGCTGTTGAACCTCATGGGGTTGGAGCCCATGTGCATGCTCAACTCTCTCATGTTCCTGTACTCTCCAGGCCTCATGTACATCTGCCTGCCTCTGTAGTGGGGCTGCTCGTACATCAGCCAGTGGCCATCCATCACGTTGCAGGACTGCATGTCGTTCATGCGGAAACGATCGGTCATGGATTCACAGTCGTCGCTCAGCTCGTGCATCTGACCTCCGAAGTTCTCCTTCTCGTACATCCTCATCCTAAAGTTTCCTCTGTGCTGTAAATGGATATGGGAAAAGTGTTTTACCAAATCGTGCGAAATATACCTTCACATTGCTTTTGCTGGAGCTGTCCGTATGGCCTATGGGAGTCAAAATGAACAGGTGAAATGAATTTACCATGGGGATGTTACGGCAAGACCTGATGCAATCGTTCATGCCCATACGCTGGTAGTCACCATACTCTCCCCTTCTCACAAAGTACTGGTTTCCCATGAAGTTGGAATGATCGTAGACCATGAAGCAGCCGCTCTCAACCCTGCAGGAGTTGCACCTGCTCAGGTAGGAAGTCAGCTCAGGGCAATCGCTGGAGGTTTCATAGGAACGACCCTGGAAGTTCCTGTCCTCGTAGAAGATGATCTAAAAACACACAACAAAACCATCATTTACTAAAATGTGTTGTAGTTCTAACAGTACAGTACAATTGATTGTTTGAAACAAATTAGAAAAAGCTTAAAAGTCAAATTCCATCAAAGCTCCACACACCTTTCCCATAGACATGGTTGCGGTTACTGTATTGGTCTCAGAATTGTACAATTTTCTTTATGTCCCCCTATCGCTTTTATACCTGAGCCGACAGCCAAAGAATATGTGGCTCCATTGTTCAAACCCCTGACAGAGCAATATGGCACAGAGGCCCCCCCTGTACAGTACAATTCAAAGTGGCCTTTAAAGGGTCATTATTTGCGGCTGTGTGCATTTGTGAGGAGAGCCCATCTCTTTATTGTTTCTGTTGAATAACAGTAGGAAGGCGAACTCTTCATATCTAGACTTTTCAGAGATATCAACAAACCTAACTGACATTTGTTCATGGCTATTACGATTTAAATCTTGCATATTTAAAAAGCACAAAAAATAGTAGCATCATGATTCAAACATCAATCAGTCTATTAGAAAAATATAACACATTACTGAAAAAGATTATTTCATAATAAGTGGTCTTGCCCAGTGTAAATAAATATGGATGAAAACAAAATGAATCCCAATGTTATAAGATGGTTGTTGACATTTTCTTTCCTCCAACAAAACTGTTAGGCATAAAATGTATCAATTGACAAATTGTATAACTGGAATCCAAGAACATTAAAGTAGCGGTTTGTACATTGGTTAATACACTCTTAGAAAAAAGGGTTCCAAAAGGGTTCTTCAGCTGTCCCCATAGGAGAACCCTTTGAAGAACCCATTTTTGGTTCCAGGTACAACCCTTTTGGGTTCCATGTAGAACCCTTGGGTTCTACATGGAACCCATAAGGGTTCTACCTGGAACCAAAAGGGTTTTACCTGGAACCAAAAAGGGTTCTTCAAAGGGTTCTCCTATGGGGACAGCTGAAGAACCCTTTCAGGTTCTAGAAAGCACTTTTTTTCTAAGAGTGTATATATAACAGTTTCCACTGATATTTACCTGGTATTTATTTG